GGGCCCGAAGTCTACATTCAGCCTCACTGTTAAATGAATAAAAACAGGAAATACTATTCTCCACGTAACAAACGACTCAAGATTTTAAACGACCCCAGTATTGAAAAGGTGCAATGGGACAGACATGTCATCCGCTCTGGGTAGAGCGTGTCTGGGGCCACAGCATCTGGGCGGTATCACATAGGCTTCAGTCCAATATCTCCTTTCTCTGCGTCCAGCTTCAGAAAAGTTTCAAAGACGCGAACAATGAAAAATTTATATTACGGCGCAAAACCCGTAATGGCTGAAAACCTAGGATCACCACAGAGTAATAACTGGTTTTTAAAAAACCCCGCTTCCTTGGTATGCCTGGGTGCCTCGGTTGGCTGAGCGTCGGACTCTTGATTTCAGCTCAGGTCATGATCTCACAGTTCGTGTGATTGAGCCCCATGTCGGGCTCTGTGCTGACAGTGTGAGCCTGCTTAGGATTCTCTCTCTCTCTTCCTCTCTGCCCCTCCCCTGTGTGCGACCTCTCTCTCTAAATAAAGAAACATTGAAAAAAAAAATCCTGCTTCTATTTCCATCAAAGTCAGGAACAAGACACACGTGCCCACTTGCACCACCACACGTAACGTCTTATGGGAATTTTCAGCCAACTCAAGAGGAAGACGCTGGAGGTATAAGAATTAGGAACAAAAAGGTGAGGTTATCTTTTTTTTCTTCCTTTTAGTAGGCTCTATGCCCAATGTAGGGCTTGAACTCACGACCCTGAGATCAAGAGCTGCATGCTGACTGAGCCAGCCAGGTGCCCCGCCCCAGAGGTGAGGTTATCTTCACATGCAGATCTAACCAGGTACCTGGAACATCCAAAAGAATCAGCTGAAAAACTACTGCAAACAGTAAGACAATTCAGCAAGAAAGCAGGATGTGAAAGCGAGACACAGAAATCAACAGCCTTCACGTAAATAATTAACAACTATTTAGAAGACACTCACAATAGCAACAATAACAGAATATCTAAGTACAAACCTAGTAAGAAAGGGGAACTTTAAAAAGCCTAAAAGGAAATGAAAGTGGCCTTTACAGAGCACACTCTTACGTAAGAGGATGCAAACTTCCTAAAGATGCCATCCTTCCCGGACGTTTAAAAAAGGTGATGAGATCCCAATAAAAACACAACTGCTTTTTCTGCAATGAAATGAGCCAATTCAAAGTGCCTAGAGTTTGTAATAAAATCAGTATTGTTGTTGTGAATGCTTTTAATAGGAAAAAGCAATAATTACGTCAACGATGTTAGAAACCAAGATTTTCAGTGTAAAAGAGATAAAACTGAAAATTCAAGAAACGTGTGAAAATACCATGCTATTAGAGTTGAACTGAAAATGTCAATAAGAAAGCACGACTAAAATATACATGTATTTATATACCAACTCCCTCCGCTCACAGCACTTAAAAGCAACATCAGTCCAATAGCAACAATCACCCCCGGCAGCCAGATTTTGGTCTCTAAAACCAATCCCCACTGAAAGAAATCAGGACTCTCTGAAAATGGCCGATTCCAGGTCTGGGACAAGGAAGGTACAAAATGAGGCTGGGGGACATCTTACTGTCTCAGAAGTCAAGGAATCAAAAATAAATGCATCCATGTCAAAAAACACACACAGGAGTTAGCCCGAAGGATACCCAATGCTTAAACTTATGTATCTGCGCGTCAGAAAGGATAACAATTTTAGTAGGGTTGAAGCACACTGAAATCAATGGGATCTCTAAGTTCATAACGATATTCAAAAAAGAGAAAACCAGAAAAAAATCTTTAGGTTTTCACCGTTTGAGGGAAATCGGTAACTAAAAGACAGAACATCAAGCCCGTCCTGACTTCCAGTAGGAACTATACGTCAAGGTAACCAAGTATCTCCAGTTGGTAGGAGACGGCTCTGCTTGAGGAAGAATGCCAGATTACGTGTTAAGTCTCTAGAGCCACTGCTGTCCTAAGGAAGCACGGTCGCATGGTGTATACAGCATTAGCATACGGTTGGTGGCAAACAGACGCTGGCAGGATGCCAAAACATACCTTGCAAATCACCATCAGCACTTCTGGACAGTGCAGATGCAGAGGGAAGTGTCATCGTCTGACGGAGAGGTCAACCTGTCAGCACCCTAACACACTGTAAAATGTGGCATCACTTAGGACAGTCACCAGATCGGATGCGTATCTGGCACTAACTCCAGTATCTCCCGCGTTACGCAGCATTCCATCCAATAAAAGTCTCTATGTACAAGAACGACAGGGAGTAAGTGGAATATTTTACCGGACAACCAGCCTGACGGATTTAACAAGTCATAATAAATGAGTGCTGTGATTTACAACACTCCCACACCGGTGGTGACCCAGGTGTGTGGCAAAAGCAGCAAAGACCAGAAAAACCAAATCCCTATGGAAGAAGGCACTTTTGTCTTAGGTTTTAATTCATCTTAAATACTTGAGTATAATGACCAGCACACACTGGAAAATAGTCAGGTACTCAAGAAAGTAAGGCATCATGAACATCATGTGACAAGGACTTCAGATGACGTTATTACCTGACACAGACCACAAAGGAACTATGCTTACCGCACCCACGGAAACGACGAGGGTGACCCGAGATAGAACGGAAAGTATGAAAAAGTCATGCTGCAGGTTAGAAACATAACTCCCATAAACGAAGAAGTATATCTCAGGTTAAAAGCTGAACAAAGCGAGTTCAGCACATACTAGACAGACCTGAAGATTCTGAGCTACAGAAATGAGACATGGTGTTTAAAGATTCTGGTAGCACTTTAGCGGGGCAACTTTAGGTCCACTGGCTATAATAACAAAAAAGGCTGCATTTGATATTTCGCTTTTATAGTTATTTACTTTTACTGTGTTTTATGAAAGCATTAGTCCACGATGGGTTGAGAATTAAGAAAAAGAAAACCGGTCCTTCACCGTAGATAACGTGAGACTCTCTCATCGTGAATAGGACATGGTAAGTCACAAAACGTTTGAAAAATACAGATGAAGATCAAAAGAAAGATAGTAAATGAAAAAGTCTAATACGTCCTGATTAAAGCCACAGAAAAAAGAAAGATAAACGTAGAAGAAACAACGGCTGAGAACTTTCCACCACTGAGGAAGTCCAATAACATAGGGGTGCAAGATGAATCCCCAAAAGGACTGATGAAAAAAGAAACCCACGTTTGGACACCCGGCAGTGGAACTATTGAAAACTCAAATGTTAAAGACAAAAATCAGAAAAGTGGCCAAGAATCACAATTCCTTTTTGGTTTCTCAATCCTAATGGAAGTCAAAGGCAGTGAAATGCTGATCTTCATTGTATTGAAGGAAAATAACCTGAAATTCAATACTCAGTGAACACCTTTCAAGAATGAGGACAGAATAAAGATATTTTCTACATAAATAAAGACTTTGCCACCAGTAGACTCTCATGAAAGAAAATTCTACACGACACATTCAAATAGAAGGAAGATGATCCCAGGAGAGAAGTCGGAGATACAAAACAAACAAGAATGAAGAATAAAGCGATAAATTAGTGGATAAATCCAAATGATCACCAACCGAAGAAGACAGTAACACTGTCACGAAGATTTTAAAGGGCTGGCTTAAAAGTTCAAAGATCCAACAGCCAGGGGTTCTCCGAAGATGGCAACAGCAGCATTTTTTTCTTTTTTTTTTTTAATTACTAGACTTTAACTTTGAGACTTACAGAAACATTGAATGCAGAGGTTTCACACTATCCCCCACCTGTTTCCCCTATTATGAACATTGTGCATTAGTGTGGGTGCGTTGGTTACAACTGATGAGCCAATACTGATACAGTATTACTCACTAAATACCACGGTTCACGTCAGGGCTCCCTCCTTGGGCTGTGTATTCTGTGGGTTTGGACAAATGCAAAATGCCATGTATCATACAGAGTAGTCCCACTGTCCTGAAAATCTTCTGTGCCCTGTGGATTCATCCCTCCCAAAAATGACTTAGCATGCGTACTAAGATGAAGCTAGACGTTATCTAAGCCAGATTCGCGCTCTGCAGGCTGCAGTGAGCGGACAGCCCGGATTCCTAGCAGGTGAGGGGCAGGAGAGGCATCGATGAATCCTTACATTCTTCCCTCCCTCCATCCCTGCCCCTGCCCGTGTATCTGGCGCATGTGCAGTGAGCCCTTGCTATCCGCCCCGCAGCGTGGAAGGCACTAGAATATGCCCGTAAGGGTGCTCTGGGTTCATACGTCTTGTAAAAAGACCCATTGTTGTAAATGTATGGCATGAAAAATGTCTGATGGTTTACTACACCGGTCTTCTATTTTAGTAAATATAAAGGTGTTCAGAGGTTTGCACTTGACTTTTGGGGTCCTTACCCTATTTTCCTTGCTTTTCTTTACTTCGACCTCAACATCTCCTAGAGGAGCACTTTTAGGGGCCAAACACCTTCAGGTGGAAAGGGGGGACTATGCCATCTTGGGGGAAATTCAAAGCAAAGGGCACCATTCCCTGGCAGAACCCCCTGGGCAGAGTAATCCCCAAACGATTCATACCAAGACAGCCCACGAAGGATTATGGCTAAATTCTCGCTTCTCTGAGACCAGGAAAACGAGGAGGCCCCACTGCAGTTTTTACGAATGCTCTCTTTGCAGCACCTCCTTTCTGAATCGCTAGAGTTCAAAGGCGACAAATGCAGGAGAGAAGTCCTCGCAGGGAACGCCAGCCGGCCTGCTTACGACTCACACGAAGACATTTAGTGTATTACACCTGGACTACACATGAGACGTTCACCTTAAACAGCTCTGGGGTTTGAAGTACCACTTGGGTAGATCAGTTAGTGGGATTAAATGGAAACAAAACAAAACAAAACGTAACAGAGAAGACGACCCTAGTGGACTATCAATGCAGCAGAGGAAGCAGCAGCTGGCAAACCACGAGAACGTTAGTCCACCCCTGAATGGGCACGCTCGAACTTTTAAAAGGCAAATGATAAAAATTACCTTTCAAAGACGGTAGTTTCTGAAGCTCTCTGTTGTTGCTGGCGCTGAACCTCGAAGAGTTTTGCCGCTTGTCCCTCCTCACTATGGGCTGAGCGGCGGGCACTTTTATTTTGCTGGATACAGTAGACGGGGTAGCAGGAAGGTTGTTTTTCCTGCCGGAAATCTGTTTCCAAAACAAAAACAGACAGACGCATATGTCAAACGGTTGTATCTTGTGGCACAATTAGAATCTGGAAAATATACACAAGTTTTTACTCCGGGACGGTTTTTACTCCACTCTGCCCTAAACGTCCCTCCTTACAGTGGCTGGAGTCCGTGCCCTATCCCGCCCCTAGTAATGCTGGGTTTCTAGAGATTCTCCTGGTTCAAACTTTTCTCTTTATGCATTTGCCATCCAGGCTGATGGATATATACAGGCTGATGACAATGACCTTCCAAAGATGTTCACGTCCTGATCCCTGGAACCCAGGAGGTCTCCCTATTTGGCAAAAGGGACTTTGGAGATGCGATGAGGTAAGGATCCTGGATTATCAGGGTGGGGGCCCAAGTCATCACAGGGCTTTACCAGACAAGACAAGGCAAAACAGAAGCAGATGACAAAGCAGAGGTGAGAGCGTCAGAGGCACTGGAAGAAGTCAGAGGAAAGCGCCACGAGCCAAGTAGCGCCTGAGGCCTCTAGAAGCTGGAAAAGGCCAGGAGGCAGATTCTCCTCTCGGCTTCCCGGAAACACCCGCCACGCCGACATCTTCACGTGGGCCCCACTGTAGACTTCTGACCTCCAGAAGTGTAAGATAAGGAGTCTGTGGTCATGGGCACAGCAGCCACAGGAAACTCACAGAGCAGGCACCTCGCCCCTCTGCCTGCGCACCACTCCGCCCTCGGCGATGTGTGAGAGCCACGTGAGAGCACCTGTCCCTGGAGCCTCAGGAAGTGCTCCTCCCTCTCGCCACCCCCTCCATGCAGCTCCACACTGCACTGCGGCAACCTGGGACGTCCCAGGACGCGTGCAATGACAGGAGCGGCTGTGCAAACACCCGAGGGGAGGCGGGAGGGTGACGGGGGCGTGTGCGGCACAGCTGAGGGTCCCTATGCCTGCACAGGCCCACGGGGGGGGGGGGGGAGAGCTCAAAGGTGCACGCACGTGCATGGCCCCACGCAGCGATGCCGGGGCGCACCGGGCGTCGACCGTCACGATTCTCTGTGCAGCCTGCTCACCCCTCCCGAGCCTCCGGTCTGCCCAAAGGGACGGAGCTCGGAGGTGCCCGTGTGCGGCTGTAAAAAACCGACCCAACTCGCCCTGGAAGCAGGAGCCCACTAAGGGTCTTCCAATCACACTGGGCTGGGAGAGCTCACGCCAACTTAGGCGCCCAACGATCGGCTCTCGCTCTTGAATGGAATTGTTACTAAGAAGTTAAGAGCAGCTTTATTTTTATTTATTTTTCATTAAAAAATTTTTTAATGTTTCTTTTTAGAGAGAGAGAGACAGAGCACGAGCAGGGGAGGGGCAGAGAGAGAGAGGGAGACACAGAATCCGAAGCAGGCTCCAGGCTCTGAGCTGTCAGCACAGAGCCCAAAGTGGGGCTCAACTCAAGAACGGGGAGATCATGACCCAGGCCGACGTTGGACGCTTCATCGACTGAGCCACGCAGGCACCCCAAGACGCTGTATTTTTTTTATTCTATTTTTTTCTTAATTTTATTTATTTTTTATTTTTAAAAATTTACATCCAAATTAGCATATAGTGAAACAACGATTTCAGGGGTAGATTCCTTAATGCCCCTGACCCATTTAGCCCATCCCCCCTCCCACAACCCCATGAAAAGCTGTATTTTTAGACAAGGCGCGGAAGAATCCTTGGGGAGAGTTTTCTGGGATGTGGGATGCCCGTGCACATAGGACTCAGACCGGGGGGCGAGGGCCTGGGCGCCCCGCCCTCCCAGTCAGCAGCTTCTTACTCACAGTGGGCTTTCCTGGACATTGTCCTCGACGTGTCACTCTTTCCACCTGATCACGAAAGCCGGGTCTTCCTTAAACCCCGTCCAGACCCCTCTTCCTCCCCGGGATTCCCCAGGTTAAAACGGTTCGGCTCGGCTTCCGCAGCTGCCCCACCTCCCCCCCCCCCCCCCCAGCCCCCCCACCGTCACCAACAGCTCCTCCTCAGCCACGTACTTGTTTTAAACGTTAAGTTATACATACGTCCAGTAGGTTAAAGGTGACACCTCCTGTTTACCGGGCCGAATCCCGTGCTGCACACACGGTGACCCTGGGGACAACTGGGCACGTGGCTGCCCCCGCCGGGCCAGGAGTGGGCTGGCACCTCCTGCAACGAGCCGGGCACACAGGCGCCGGGTGAACTCATAAAACGGAACTAACTCCATGCCCACCGACATTGTGTGCAGGACACACGCCCCGTGAGGCTTCTCACGACTGAGAGAGCAGGAAGGGCCCCCTCGGACCTGCTGACTCCGAGCCGTGGCTCCTGGCTGTGGGCCCTGCCGGTCTCCCTGCCCCGGAGCACTGTCCTCGGGGCAGGCAGAGTGAGCTTCTAGAAGGAGGCCCTGGTTCCGCCACCCAGGCCAACCTGCCGCAGCCACTTCCCAAGACTCTCAGCCCGTGGGCTTAATGTGGCCTAAGAGCCCCATGCTCGGGTCTCCCGCTCCGGCCGGCCCCGCACCTCCCACTGCCCCACCCTGAGTCGGCTCCCTGAGGCCTTCGTGCGGTGCAGTCGGCAACGTGGGCTGCTGCCTGCCTGGCCGGGCTCCATTACAAGGTGGCCGTCTCGTCTTCTCCCCCATGGGATGTCTGCTCCAGGAGGGCATGGACACTGCAGTGTCCCGTACCAACCAGGTAGGAGGCCCCCTGAGGCCGTGTCATGAGGGGACCGCCTTCAGGCAGGGCTCAGGGTGGACAGCTGGGGGCCGCGGGCGCCCACAGAGCCGACTAGCCCAGAGTCTGACCTTCACCTGACGGGGCACCCCGAAGTCATGTAGGGGATGGGGAAGGGCCGACAGCGCGAACCCATCTTCCTGTTGGAAAGGCTCCGCAGGCTGCAGTGTGGACCGGGCAGGAGGGGAGAAGGCAGACTAGGCCAGTCATCTGGGCCGTGCACGGGGGTGTCAGCCACCCCAGCACGGTGACCAGCAGCTGGGGGCACCGGTCACTGGGATGAGAAGGAGAAATGGGCGGGGAAGCCCGGTTGTGAGCATGCTGGGTCTGAAAGGACGCGGTGACACCTGTCCTCACGCCCCCAAGACGCTCTCTTTCTGCCGAGGACAACGGCTGAGTCCTGTCCTCGGTGTCCTGGCCGCCACCTGCCCGCCCTTGGCTGCCCTCTCTGCCCGGCGGTGCAGCTGCATGGCCGGCCCTCGGACACCTCACGTGAGCTGGGATGTGAACTTGGAAGCCACCATCTGCGTGGTCACTGAAGTCGCTGAATGAGCCAGAATGCCCGGCAGAGGAGCACGGAGTGGGAAGAGGTGGAGGAGGCAGAATGGGGCCGGGGGAAGAAAGCCTCTCAGGAAGGAGGAGGTCAACCCGTCCGACGCGGCGGCCTCAGCACCTCGGGGCTGGTGGAGGCTGTTGAGGGCGGTGAGGGCAGGTGGGGAGGCCCGGAGTGTCCGTAACAGCTTTGGAGAGGTGGCCGGGAGGAAAAGCGCCACAGGAGAGACATCGGGCTGTCGGGGGTGGGGGGCCTGACCATGATCCGTGCCCGCGGGGGGCAGAGCACCGAGGGGAGGCCGGGCTGAGGGACAGCTGAGCCAAGAGCAGGATCTGGGCCCTGATGTGCAGTGACAACAGAACAGAGGATGCACAGGACAGGACAGCTGGAAGGGAATCTGATGGCCTCCCCTCGTGCACAGACGTACGAGGTCCCCTGTGAGAAGCATTCTGAAGGGAGGTGAGGCCTGAGGAGGTGAGGGCGGCCTGAAGGGATCCCTGAGCCACAGAGAAAGGCAGGGCCTGGAGAAACAGAGATGCTCTGAGCACATCGTTCTCCTCAGCTCCAAACTTCAGCAGCCACAGGGACATGTAATGGTCAGCGCCTGGGGGGGAGGTCACCGCCCTCCACAGATTTCTCCTGGCGTCCCCGACAGCGTGTGGAACCCCCTCCCCAAGCTAATCACAGCCAGATACGGTCCTGGGCCGGAACCAGGGCCCTTCCCCAGCCAGGGTGCAGGGCGACCTCCTGGGATCGGGCAGGGAGCAGCGGAAGCAGACTTGCACCTTGCTCGCTCCCTGGACTTCAGACGTCACCTCCCTTGTGTCCCACAGCCAAGCAATTCCACTCTCCAGCATCTTCCCAAATTCCCCCCTTCTGCAATGTTATGACAAACTACCACCACTATGTGTCAGACGCCATGTGATACACAGCCTAAGAAACCCATATTTGCATGCCTTTTAAGATCTTTTAAAAGAATATTCATCTATGGGGCACCTGGGTGGCTCAGTCGGTTAAGCGTCCGACTTCGGCTGAGGTCATGATCTCACGGTTCGTGAGTTTGAGCCCCGCATCGGGCTCTCTGCTGACAGCTCAGAGCCTGGAGCCTGCTTTGGATTCTCTGTCTCCCTCACTCTCTCTCTCTGCCCCTCTGCTGCTTGTACTCTTTCTCTCTCAAAAATTAAAAAAAAAAAAAAAAAAGAATATTCATCTAAAGGCCATGGTACTAGCATAAGGACAGCCACTTAGATCAGTGGGACAGAACTGGGAGCCAAGGCCTCTCAACAGAACAGTCTCTTCAACAGGTGGTCCTGGGACAACCCTGCTGTTTGTGACAGCCAGCCTCTAGCTTTTATGGCGGCAAGAAAGGTGGTCTCCAGAGAAACCAGACTGTGTAGAAAAAACTCAGGCTGCTAGTGTAGGAACCGGCCGCTCAGAGCAAAGCTCTCTACATTCCGGCCTTTCGGGGCTGGAAGCCACAAGAGCACGCTCTCAGCTTGGGCCTGTCCAGTGAGCGGTCAGCTGACAAGCCCACCCGAGTCCAGCGCCCATGGCCAGCTGTGCTGGGGCCTCACCTCTGCCTGTGCGGAAACCGGGCATCTGATGGACGTGTTTCCAGGGGTCCCTGGTTCCAATTCTTGCCTTTCTGTTTCCTACCCAGCAATGGCAGAGCAACAGCAGGGAACTTTTTAAATACTTAAGTCAGGGGCGCCCGGGTGGCTCAG